TATGTAGATGTAAAAGATATAACCACTGTAATTTCATCTAAAATGAGAGAAACTGTCATACAGTATAGCGGACACATATCTTCAGTTTAAAGTTGCGACGGAATAAGCAACATGTAAGTATACATGAATCGCATTTAGTAAATAGATACATTTTAATTTGCCATACCACCTTAAAGAACTTCAGTTCATCCAAAAGTTAATGTCATGTTGTTCCAAAGGCATTTGACATTTTTCCTTTCCATACAATACAAAGGAAGTGAACTTGAGAACTGGATCCATCTGATTTGTGAACAAATCATTAAGAAGATCCAACTCAAGTAAATGAATTGTTCACAAATAGGAACTTATTGGAACTTATATTTCAGTCTTTTCCTCACACAAAATGATTGTATGACTTCAGAAGACTTGAAACAAGTCATATGAACTACTTTTATAATTATTTTATAATACTAATTTTATATATTTTTTTACTTTATACTATTTTATACAGATCTTGCTTTTTGTCATTTTTGAGTTTGATAGCCAATATGTGAACAACTTTTATAATACCATTTTGTCATTTTAAACCTTTTTTTGTGTCAGTCATTTTTAAGATAAATTTTATAGCAATTTTTTGTCATGTTTGAGTTTGAAAGCCAATTTGTGAACTACATGAATTTGGCATAAGCATGATCCCCGTCAGATTGGTCGTGGCGGCGGTGTTGCAACAATACATGATATTCTCAATGTTACTCAGAAGACAGGAGGTTTAACTAACTGATTCGAAATACTAATGCTTAATGTTACACTGTCAGATATGCAAAAGAAATCGATCGTATCTCTTGCTCTGGCTACTGTGTATAGATCACCAGGGCCGTATACAGAATTCCTAAATGTTTAAATCTAGATTAAAGACACATCTCTTTGGCCAAGCATTCAAATAATGCATCTCATAATCTTGTACTGCAGTTATATCTGATCAAATGCGCATTATTATTCTTTAGCTTGGGTTAAACAAATCAATTTTGCTTGGTTGGAACAGCTACGCTAATTATGTCTCTTATTTGTTTCTCTGTTTCTAGGATTTACACAAGCTTCAGTCTGGATCCAGAACACCTGAGAAGAGATGATGCCAACCCTGAAACAACATACAGAACTAACAAATTTTGCTATAAGTTTGATTGCAACATATAATCATTTTTGTTAATAGTGTTCATCATCTGTTTGATTATGTCTTTAATTGATTTTTCCGTACATTTCTGCCATATGTACATTTACTGACACTCACCACTGATAAGCTACTACTAAATATTGTAGTAACTTAATTTTCTGTAAAGTTGCTTTGCAACGATTTGTATCGTGAAAAGCACTATACAAATAAACTTGAAATGAATTGAACTACATTTATGATACTATTTTGTAATTTTATATAGATGTGTTATAGATGTTAGATCATTTTTGAGATTGAGAGCCAAGCGTACAACATAAATACATAACTTTGTACAAACAAAACACATTTTAAGGGTTACATCACAGAAATATATATGGTGATTCATGCTTTTGATGTAAACAGGTTCAAAACCCACCCGCATATATAACTTTTAATAAACAGAGCAAGATAGCAGTGGATCTATATAGAAATGGGGGTGTTTGGTTGCAATTTATTTAGTGTTTTCGCTGGAATGGAGAATGGGCAGCAGAGTGAGGTGGAAGCCTTGTTTATATACTTTCAATCAACTTGTAATGGCCAAGAAAAAGATTACCTTCTCCAATGTCATCCTGTTGAAAGTCAACTGATTCTTGAAACGGGAGCTAGAATGACACTGACAATTCTTTATTTTAAGTCAATGAGTATAATTAGCCAAATAAACAACTTTACTAAAAATGATGACAGAATAACGCTGATAGACTGTTTCTAAAACCTAAATCTGACAGCACACAAACGTGAAAAATTTGGTTATTACATTATATTATATTAATGATGTTTTTTTTTTACAGTGGTACCGAAAATACATCAGTTTTTAATGTATTTAAACTCTTTGCAAAACCTGTATGTCATTGTGACAGGTTTATAAAACAACTATTTAAGTGGATCATTTCAGCAAATTAAGATCAGGCTGAAATGACTGGGGACCTTTTGAAAAATAAAACTGAGAAAGAACATTTTTGCAGTTTTTTTTTTTGGAATTTGGAGGAAGTTTTGAGTTCTGTATATTTCAATAGAGCATGTTTACATAGTACAACTAACTCTTGTTTCAAAAGATCACAGAAAATTTGATTTGTCATGCTACAGTGTGACCCATTCAACATAATGCCGTGATTCAGTGTAGCAGCAAGCGTAGGCACATTACTGCCCAAATTACTGCTGTAATTTTCAGCACATTTGCATCAGAAAAATTCAACTTGTTCTTAATGCTAATGATTCACACAGACCAACAGAAGAGGAGAAGATCTCGCACCCTGCACAGGATGCTGTGCGCTCTCCTCCATTGAAGGTGTGTGACTAAATGTTAAGCAGAGATTTTGTGCCTTTGAGGTCAACTTGTAATATGGTGTTATGTTAAAGCTCATTTCAAAAGAAGGTTAAAGGTGTGCTGGCTTCCGCTGGATTTTCAGAGAAAAAGCTTCTTGAGCTCACACAATTGTGTTTATCGGAGGCAGACGATCATTCCTTCCCATTCACGAAATGTGGCCTCTTTCATCTGCGCCTTCTCGACAAGCGTGTTTTGGCTGGACTGTTGAAAGTTGTTTAAAAGTGGAAATGGCATTTGAGGCTGATGTCTGACCTTTCTACACAATCTCCAGTCTACAGCCACACACACACAGATAGATGGCCACAAAAACACGCCGTCACAACAATAACACAAATACACACACACACACACAGACACACAAACACACACACACACACAGACAGACACACACACACACACACACTCACATACATATGCCTGAGTCTCTATCTGTCTATCTATCTATCTATCTGTCTGTCTGTCTGTCTGTCTGTCTGTCGTATCTAGGCTGCATTTATTTGATACAGTAAAAACTGTTTGAATACTTATTGTGAAATATTATTACAATTTAAAAGAACAGATTTCTACTTTAATACATTTTTAAAATGTAATTTATTCCAGTGATGCAAAGCTGAATTTTCAGCATCATTACTCCAGTCTTCAGTGTCACATGATCCTTCAGATATCATTCTAATATGCTAATTCATAATCATCGATGGAAACAGTTGTGCTGCTTAATATTTTTTGGAACCTGTGACACTTTTGTCAGGATTTTTTGATGAATAAAAAGTTAAAAAGAACAGCATTTATTTAAAATAGAAATCTTTTGTAACAATATACACTACTGTTCAAAAGTTTGGGGTCAGTACATTTTCTTCTTTCTTTTTTTTTTTAAAGAAATTAATACTTTTATTCAGCAAGGATGTGCTAAATTGATACAAAATGATAGTAAAGAAAGACTTCTATTGTTACATAAGATTTCTATTTTTAATAAATGCTGTTCTTTTTAACTTTTTATTCATCAAAAAATCCTGACAAAAGTATCACAGGTTCCAAAAAAATATTAAGCAGCACAACTGTTTCAATCAATGATTATGAATTAGCATGTTAGAATGATTTCTGAAGGATCATGTGTGACACTGAAGACTGGAGTAATGATGCTGAAAACTCAGCTTTTATCACAGGAGCAAATTCTATTTTAAAGTACATTCACATAGAAAACAGTTATTTTAAATTGTAAAAATATTTCACAATATTACTGTTTTATTCTGTAGTTTTGATCAAATAAATGCAGCCTTGATGAGCAATAGAGACTTCTTTAAAAAAACAATAAAAATCCTACTGATCCCAAACTTTTGAGCTGCAGTGTATAAATCTCATAAGAACACTTGCTTTATAAATAAAAAAATTCCAACACATAATAATGTGCCAAGAATGAAAAGGTAATAAAAATATCAGTAATACACATGTTCATGATGACTGCATTCACGGTCACTGTTTGGGAATGTTTAAAGATTAAAGTAGTTGCTTGAATACCAATCTGTATGAATAAAGAGCTGAAGTCACAACCTTATTCTAACTCAGGTAACCATACTGATACTGACAAGCTCAAAGATGGCGGCGTCCATAACACTGGGAAGTTTTATCACAGTTGCCAGCATTAAATGAATTCAACCGAGGCATGAGTTCATCCATCTGATATTTTAAACCACCACCAACGGCTTTAAATGCTTTGTAATCGAGTGCATAGAGTATGTTTGAGCTCCAGGAGATCTTTGTATGAATGCAACGCATTTCTCCATCTCCAAAAATTTAAAATCTAAAGCACTAAAATGTTACCAAAAAAGTATGTGTAGTATTTTTAAATATTATAATGTTAGAAGAAAAAAAAAAAATCACCAGAATTAATTATTCTAATAATAAAAAAAAAAAAAATCTAAAATTAAATCACAAGTACCTGCAATTATTAGGTGGATTTGGAATCAGAACCTGAATTACTAAATTCTAAGACTCCCATTTCTAACCAGAGTGAGCTGTGCACATTCGGTTTTGTTTGACTGTCTTTACCGGCTGCAGCCAAAGCATGACTGTACTGAGAGCACAAAATGAGACAAAAAATATCAGTGAAACAGAAAACGAAAGGAGGAGAAAGGCAGTGAAACAAATGAAGGAGTGCAAGGGCAAGACAGCGGTAGATACAGAGAGATACAGCGTGTGAGAGATTGGTGGGGTGTTCTGGCTGATAGGGGGTCAATGCTTCTCCCCGGAGCCCCATTACCGGGTGGCATTAACGGATGTGGTGGGCCAACGGGGGCACGGTGAGGGCCCAGAGAGAGTATGTGTGTGTGAGAGAGTGAAGGAGAACAATTTGATAGTATCTCCTCTTCACTGCAGCTACCAACACACCACCATCAATCACTGCCAAACACAGCAGCCTGTGCACACACACACACACACACACACACACTAATAGCCATTCACATCGGTGAACACTTAAGGTATGTTTACCTGCACAGGGCAGAGAGTAGCCTACCAGTGGCTCCTGGATAAACTGTCGCTCATTGAGTCTGGTCACACAGTACAGGTGGAAGCACTCCAGGCAGATCACGTGACGCTCGGCACACTGAAACACCAGCACTGGAGTACTGGAAGACATGGTGAGGCCCGAGTCACACTTACAGTCTACAGTTACACAACTCCTCATCATATTATAAAAGTGTTTACAGGAAAGTACTACTAGTTTCCAGCAATAATGTCTGTCCACACTGAAAGCAACAATGCTGTGATGTTATACAATCACACAGCCAATTAGAACATATCTGTTGAGCATACACTTAAATATCATCTTACTAAGACATAATAATGGGAAAGATTGACAACTGATATTTTATATGCATTTTATGCAAGTCTGTTATACTGTAAACATCTCAATGATTACATGCTACTTCATCTTACTTTTTGGCCATATAAATATCAGCATCTCCACCAAATTGCATATTTTTGCACAGTTTGGGCCTTTATTTTTTGGGTTTATTTTCCTCCTTGAGTATGAGAGTATGAGCTTCATATCACACTATATGAGCAATAAAAGCCTGGTTAACATTTATGTTGCATTGACGCATAAAAAAATATTGGATGAGTTTCACACTGGTCTGAATAAAAACAGCAGACGGGCTGAATGAAAATGCAGATTCACTCTCTGACAGCAGAAAACACTTATGGAAAAGCAGAAATTTGTCACAAAAAAACATGTCCAGGTCACATTTTACCACAAAATTAAACAAAAAAAACTAAGAATATGGGCTCATGACATGGAATACTCATACTTGTACTAAAAAATCACATTGCAAGACCATTTAAAATGACCTGGTGATGGCAAAAAAGCAAGAATGGTGAATACACTTCTTAAACATTCATAACCATTTTAACTAAAAATCTACCAATAAAAAAGTCAACTACCAATAAAAAACCTACCACAATTCACAATGTAATTATTTAACAATTGAAAGATTTTTTTTTTTTTTTTGCATTATGGCAATGAGAATTTTTGAAGGGGTCACATTTTACCACAAAATTAAACAAAAAAAACTAAGAATATGGGCTCATGACATGGAATACTCATACTTGTACTAAAAAATCACATTGCAAGACCATTTAAAATGACCTGGTGATGGCAAAAAAGCAAGAATGGTGAATACACTTCTTAAACATTCATAACCATTTTAACTAAAAATCTACCAATAAAAAAGTCAACTACCAATAAAAAACCTACCACAATTCACAATGTAATTATTTAACAATTGAAAGATTTTTTTTTTTTTTTTGCATTATGGCAATGAGAATTTTTGAAGGGAACATGCTAAACAGTCATGAAAATAATGGCACAATGTAATTAAATGTAATGGTCCAAAATAAGAGTTTTATAGTCTTTCTGATTTAGATTTTGGGGTGAAATATGATCTAGAGGGTTTTCATGAGATTCTGATGAGGAGAGGGCTTCAGGGAAAACGGGGGTGGATAGAGAGCTTGTTTAGATATGTCACTTGTTCAGTACCTTCAGAAAACTTCAAATGATCTCAAAGACCCTTGATACTTTAGTGTAGTAAGCAAAGAAACAGCCGTCTGAAATCTCATGACAATTTTCTTTCCATTTCTCCAGAAGTCCCCCTTCACTCTCAAACGCAGACTCACTTGACTGGAAGTCAACTTGCTAACACCGTGTTCCACCTCTCTGAACCCTCTCTCCCGCTTCTATTGTAAGAGACTGGCCACGTCCTTGTCGGTGCCCTTTTAAACAAATGAAGGAGATCTTTGAGGAGGAAGAAGAGTGGAGTGGAGGACAGTGGAAAAACAAAGCTCTACTCAGGAAGGTAATTGCAGCGCTACTTCAATCAGTCCTTGATTTGAATAGTGGTTGTTGGTGATTGGGCTCCATTGTCTGGTTTCTCCAGGCTCTTGACGCCCGCCCGCCCCTCCGTGCAGGTAGGTAGGAGCGTTTCTGCAGGACCTCCCCGCTAATAGCTGACCTTCATTGGCAGAACACACTTAAAGGTCCCCTGAAATGCTTAGAAACACGCAGCGTTACTCCATGTGTTGACGTCATTTTAACTAAAACAGGAAGACAAGGCGGGACATATCAAGCAGCCCCGCCCCCTTTTTAAAATAGCCAATAGCGTTCGTTTTTATCACAGCTTGGGCTAGAGCCGTTCAGAGTCGTTGAGCTCCGTAAAGCCGCATTTGACAGGGTATGCCAGCCACAATCTCATCCATTTTGCTATAAAATATAGCATTCTG